GATAAAAGTTCATCAGTCCAATTAGTTTTGTTGTCTAATACGTTTGTACGTCCTTCTTTTCTTTGAATGAAATATCATTTCCACCTGGAGGTGTGTCACTTTAAAGATATTTTAAAATATAAAACATGTAAGTTGGTTAATTTTTTTTTTGCTCCATAATTCCCATCAACAGTAGCAGTACCGCAGTAACACCATATACGGTGGCGTTTATTGCCAATGTGTACTTTAAATCAGTCGAAACCGTTGTATCTGGTTATTGTAAAATATCTTTAATTGCGCATTAAACACCATAAAATTGACAATTTAATACGTCTGGTGTGTGTAACCACTTTATATTATGATGTTCCATGAACTTAAATACAAAATGTGGTTTGCACGTAGACTTACACCGTCTTTCACCGATCAGATCTTTTGCAGATATAGATCGATAATTTCCCATCAGTCGAATATGTTTTTATATATATTAAGTGCTTAGCATCTTACTCACTGTCATCGTCATATGTCAATAAAAATATAAAAGTTATCATCAGTGATGCGTTAGTTTGTTTCTATCGACTAGGCATTAAAGGCAGTTCAAGGCAGTTCAAGTAAAAATGTAGTACAAATGTACTTGTTTTGAAAAATTAATTTTATAACATCTTTGGTTAGTTTGAACGTATTTAGTTAAGCTAGATTCTAAAAGAAGTTCTTGCAACTTTTTTTTTCATATCTTCCACTGTACTGTTGTTATACGAGGAAATATAATCGTTACCCTAGAATGACTCGAACCCACAATTCCTGGTTGAGAGGATGATGTATTAACTGCTGGGCCATCGCGTTAACATACATTTCTGCTTGCTTCACTGTCGATATGTCGTCTGCAATTGAAATATTGACATCGTCTTGTTCATTCTTGTTTAACAAGAAAAGCAAGTTTCAAATACTTTTTCTATAATCTTTTTCATTCAATATTTTATGATTTTACTGTTTCGGATGTGAACATTTTGTGTGTATTTTTGATCAATTGAGAGGCAGTTCAAATAAAAATCGTTATGTATTTCGAAATTAAATTTCTATAACATCTTTATGTGCTTGTTTGTCTTAACCTCAGTTCATCATGATATGTTTGTCGTCTGACCTTAATTCAACCTTAGATACACAACGGCGCCATCTTGACATTCTCGTATATCTCCCGCCGCGAACGTGCCCTAGTGCGAATCGCGTGCTGTAATGTAGATCCAACATGGCGCGTGATTATATGTCACAATTCTGCGGTCAAACTGATTTTAATGTAAGCATATTCTTACTCGGAAGGTTGATTTTATATAATGGCATTTAAGAATGTCAGGACATACCGACTATGTGGTCAGCGCATGTCACAGATCTATTGTTGACTGCCCATATGTGCCCACTGTTTGGCGTCTGCCCACTGTTTGGCGACTGCTACTTTTCTCAAAGAAGAGCAACTGATTTAGGTTTACTGATGTAAAATAACTGCGGTTTTATTAAGTCAATGTAAGAACAGTAAATCAACAAAGGAGATGTTAAATGAGAGATAACTAGCACGGATAAAGATTAGGTATAATAAATCTCAGATGCAAGTAAGTCTTGTTATTGATTCATCCTAAATAAATTTATACACTGCATTTCTTTGTCAAAATACAAGTGTTAAAAAGACTTATTTTTGTAATGTCTTCAACTTTCATGAATATGACCTCGGGACAATAGTGCATTTTCATAAAAGACGATACATTGCCCAAGGTGTATGACAATTTAGAGCTGTTGCCATGCCTGCGATTATCATTATATCCAGTTTCAAATGAATCATATAATTTTTAATAATTGATACATAAAAGATTTTGTGTACACGTGGCAAAATATATAAGATTGCAAAGAATATGTAGACATGTCGCATTTGATTCAGAACAATATTGTTATTGTAGCCTCATTAATTTTTCTCCCTATCCAATTCATGTCAATACTTCCAATTCAGTTCAGATATACAATTTGTGTTTTATCAACTATAGCAACAGATGTATTTTGAGTTTGCAGAAGCAAATATTTTCACCGTTGTCACAGGTTCCATATGGGATCGTTTACTTAAAGCATGTGCGGTGAGCTGGCCCAGTATTTCTTTTATTTTCAGCTAGTGAGCTATTAATGAAGTGAAATAATTTGATTTGGCACATTTCTCACATTTATGATTTATGTATTTTCTGTTCCAAACCTCACAAGGAGAATTGCATACTTTTGCATTTGGCTTTTGTTCTGGTGCCTTTAGCGTTAAAGGCGGTTTCAACAGATGTGCCCCTGTGTTTGCACCGGATAGAAAGTAGAATGACATAACAAAATCATTCTAAAGTTTTTATAAGGTTTGATTACCTCCCCTTATGATTCAGTATTTTTACAAATGGTTGTTTTTATTATTTTTTCTTTCTTTTTCGGGGTAAAAATTCTTTAATGATCATTTTCTTTCATTAAGCAGACGCTTGCTGATATTAGAAATATAAAAAAAATCGTGTTTCTTAAAGTTTTCTATAATATTTTGTATTTTATAAAGATAAGTGCAAAACGCGAAGCCATTTGTTTTTGAGAAAGAAAAAAATGTTTACACTTGTATTTAGATGATAGCGAAAAGTCATTATGAGCATCGAGCTATCAAAATTAACAAAGTTAACAGAAACATATCAAGAGACGTGGCTCTTTGTTATTTTGACACGACTCTATGTGGACTGCTATTGAATAAATTCAGCAAAGGGGGATCAAGCTATTTAGTTAGGAGGAGAAGGGTCATGTGTATACGACATGAAAATACAAACCAACTCTAGAAGATGAACGAGTAATAAATCAAGGAAACATTTCCTCGTGTGTGTGCGTAATGTAAGAAGTATATATGACCAATTTTATGCCTTATTTGACAGGCATGTATATCCAGGCATACAATCATATTAGGCACGGCTGACCTTATACTATTCATTAAGAAGTCAAATATCCAGGCCACAATAGAGCGGTGTCTTTGAAAGGTGCTTCCACGTCGTATAATATATCATTGCTGAAATTAATACTATCTCAAACACACTGTTTGCTACCAATTTTTTATTTCTTGCCCAGTATACTATTTCATCGACTCCTCTCCATTACACATGTTCAGTAGGTATAGTTTGGGTACTTTTCTTCAAATTGTTCATTACTCCAAGTCCTTTTTATGGATATTTTGTCTTTCTATACTTCTAGCAGAGATGTAGTTAACTGTCTCTTCTTCTAGACACTTTTCTCTTCACATTCTTAAGGAAATGTTTGCATGTTTTCTTTATTATTTTAGTTCTCTGTATTTACTAGTATTGTCGTGGTTATATATTTATTTGACTACTACCTAGTATCTCATGTTAGTACAATTTCTTTTTCCATTTACCCGGAAATAATTTACAATTTGGCCTCATTTCGTTGCTTTCTTTGGGGTTGGTTGTTTACTACAGATATACATTAGTCTGAACAACCAAAATTGATTATGAACAACTCCAATTAGGGAAGGTGTAAAACAGAAGTCCGTTTAATGAATCCAGCAGGTAGAGTGGTATATGTTCTAACATCTAGCATGCTTCCTAATTCTTTGGTTATTTTTATTCCGTGTCTTCTCGTGGTCGTATCTTAAATCAGAGAGTTATTCTGTACTCTGTGTCTGAACCTGTCAAATATTTTGTATACTTTAACAACAGTCAATATTTTCTTTTTAACGTGACACTTCTTTTAATGAAATTCGTTTGCTCAATTGTGAAATATTTTCAACAAATGTTCTCGCTTTGAACAATTTCAATGCGTTTTATGTTGTAAAACCTAATATGTATATATTTTTTAGGGAAAATGTTATCAAAATATTGAATGTATGTTCGAGTCGGGTTATTAAACACGGCATATTTGTGTCCGATTATTTGTCACCTGTGAAAGGATATATCGCTATTTGACATCTACTTTAATCAATTTAGCGTTTAAATCAGGTTTCTTTTGATTCATTCGACCAAAGTTGCCAAATAAATTGACATGTTCATTTGAAATGTTTCCTCTTAAGTTATCGCAAGGGTCGATGATGTGTAAATTTTCAATACAGAAACGTTTAATTTGATGTTATAGCATATTTTATAATTTATTATAATTATTATTTCTTATATTTGAAAGCACACACATTCTACTCTCTCATAAAAATAAAATCAGACTAAAGTCAAGTGATAAATGAATGAATTCTCGGGTGCTCTGGGTGCGTGTATGTGTGTTATGTGGAGTTTGAAATAAAATACAAATGTATATATTTTAAGTTGTTAAATACATTTTCAAAGATAAATTAATATTTGTTAAACTTAAAAATGAACTTAACTGTTTCTGTGAAAGTAGAGGTCGTGGTCGAACAATGGCGGAATAGTGTCTGTTTGTTCAGGGATTTTCTGAAAAGTGTTCTTAATTAGGTTATTATCTTTTTTTATTGCCATACCACAGTTGATAAACCCATAATGTTCGTAATGTTTTTCCTTTTTCCCTTCAATTTTTTTATAGAGTATAATAAAAAATACATATTATAATTGATGATATGATTAAATGCATTGCCTCCCCTGGTTACCATTTTGAGGCATATTTCCAAAATACCTCTCTGACAAAAATCTCTGACAATTCTGCCATTTTCATCATATATCTAAAATGAAATTAACAATTAACCTAAATGCTGCTTTTGTCGAGGGAGCTAAATATTGTAAATATCGGGAACTATACGTATCCATCTTCGGTTTAAAAGAACGTTGTCATGAAGTTGAATTCATGGACCTTTCAAACATTACTCAAACCATGTCATTCACCGGTCTTACATATAAATTGAAAGATGACATCGCAGATTTAACATTGTAGAAGAGTTTTTATCTGTACTCTATTTACAAAACATACCTTGCCATTATAAATTATATCCCATTTAACTAATCTTCATAGAAAATGATTTATGAATAATTGAGGTATTCAAAAGTAAGAAGAAATATGATATATCAGATTTTTATCTTTTATTTAACTTCGTCATTTTCTATTATTTTTTTCATTTTGTGGACATGTTATTATTATACTACAAAAATCAGAAAAATATTCATTCCAATTTTTTGTAGTCGTCAAAATATGAAATAAAATAACAATAATATTTACAATATATTCAATAATAAATTTACAATATATAAATAGTTGTGTAGTTTTCCGCTCAAACATTTAATTTAAAAATGTCATTTTATTTGTACATTTATTGTACAATTTTAGAATCATGTTTGGCGGAACGTCACTGGCTTTAAACAATTTTACTATACAATAACAACAACAACAAGCACTTAGCACGTGACCTCCTGGTCGGGGACATTCTTGTTCGTTTACTTCTCTCATTCAGCGAGACCTGTCTCTATACTGCGCGTGAGCACATTCTTTTCGAATTTCAGTCACACCCAATGTCATCTGACTTCGTCATTTGACAATACCCTTCAGCACTATTAGGTTTTACTAAAACTTTTGCGAACACATTTTGTAACAGAATCTGCTACAATAGCGCGGCTAACACCGTCCATATGATGAGGTTTCGAAAATAAATTAGCACAAATCTGTATTATAACACTAGATACCGGTATTGTCCGTAAACTACCTTGACTGGAAGCACACTTTTTGATATTTCGGTTGCTATGGCGACACGTCACCTACACCCACAACCTTCTACTACCATATCGTCGTAAACTTTTAGTATCACTTTATCGTGTTCATCTAAATACAACATAGAGATAGAACTAAGAGAAGTTGGAACACAACAGGCGGTTGGTGCGGCCCGAGGGTCCACTCCATTCACAAGTGTCTGAACTATGGCGTGATTGGTCGTGTTAAGGTTATCACTGAGTGGAAAGGGACACTTGCCATCACAGTAATACGCGTCGTATCCCGATGGTGCAACTATCCAATCATTCCACGATACATCACTAAAGTCTACATACAATGGCCTTCGTTTGCACAGATTTTTGTGTCCAGGCCTCTCCTTTCCAGGAGGGTTCTGCTTATTTTTATCTTCATCCTTTTTCTTATTTTTCCTCTTTTTTCTTCTTTCTCTACGCTTTTTTCTACACTTTTTACCTTTATCGCCTTTTGGACACTTTTTACGTTTTCTTTTACGTTTTTTCTTAGAGTCACTTTCATCTTTTTCTTCAATATCATCGTCATCATCATTGTTTTCATCACTATCACTATTACGTTTAGTCCGTGCTAAACTCGAGGCTTTACCATCGTCAGTATATGTAACTAATAAAGGTCTTTGAATATTCCATTCACTATCTTCAACTTCAGCTGCCCGCCGTAATCTCACATGTTTTAATGGATTTGATGTAGGATTGTTTCTGTGAGGAACTACACGAATTTCCAAACCATGATTTGCTCGGGGTTTATTTTTCCATTTTAGCACAGCGGGATGAACGTCTAAAGAAACCCAGGATGAATTTTGCACGATAATATCTCGAACATCGATAAGTCTACTAATTGGTTCTTCGTCTTTTGATACTGGCTTCATGATTTCAAATATTTGAAGTTTATGACGTAATGGTTTATCCGTCTCGGGTTCATAAGTATGATTTCTCTGCACGTACACTCTGAGTTCTGCGTCCGTTAAAAGTTCAGACTGTGGTATATATGTTACATTAAACCAGAGCCTGACACAGTTTTCGTTGCCACAGTTGTGAAGCTGGACATTGTCTGAAAGTAATAAAAAAATAGATTAATATATATTTATTAATTCAATACTTGAATACAATTGTAGTACTTAAATATTCAAAATTAGTCAGAGGTATTCATATATTTACTGTTAAAAGTTAATTTAAATCATTTTTGAAGTCACTTAATTATATGAATCGCATGACTGAATGTTTTCAACTTATTCATTCTTATTTTTCTAAAATATGCATCGTAATCTGCGACCGAGTTTATAGTTAAATACTATAGATATTTGTGAGTCAGCCTGGGTTAAACCTTTATCTAATATGCAATATTACTATATTATGACTTAGCCACCCCCGTTTTAACTGATAGATCCAGCTAGCTCGAAGGCAGTTTTGCGGTTGGTCTAAGCGCAGCACTGACGCCATGGCTATTATGAAGTTTACAGTTGAAAGAGTTTCACAAGTAATCCTTAACCATAACCTATCTAAATCAAATCTAAACGAATGGGATATGTACGGCTTGTGGAGTTTGAATTGTAAAAATAGAACATTATGAAATTAAGCTTATTATACGGTACATTTTTCACGTCTGAAAATGACTTTCAATTTATTTAAAGTGTGCCTCCATATTTCATTAAACGTTTATTTTTCAAAGTGCTTTATTTTCTGCGGTCGGCAAAAATGTAATACATTTGAGAATTTGTTTGCATTTCTAAACGTTTTCTGTTTTGATTTTTAACCGATGACCTTGAATATTGGTTTTCAAAGATCTAACTTTTCATATGAAAGAGCGTTACATTATGGTAAAACTACATTTTTTTTCAAAATTGTAAAGAACGAGCAAAAAATTATATTTTCTTTTAATTTCAGCTTTACTGCAATTTGAATACAAGATTGCCTATGACCATTCCTTATTGAAAAAAAAGAACTGCTTTTAAAAAAAGACATAATTTTGTGTTTATGGAAAGAAAGAAACCTACCTTCGTGGAAGAAACTGCGGACTGTGTTTGCAGGCTGTGATGACTGTTTGCGTGCGAACACGGTGGGTATCTCGGTGCCCGTGTCCCCACTCTCTCGTCTGTATAAGTCAATCATGTACTGAGGTATAACCACGCCTTTACTTGGTCGTGGTCGGCGAGAAAACCCAAATATTGTCAATAAGCTAGATTCAAGCGCCTCAACGGCTTTTTTCTTCTGTTCCTCAGTTAGAGGTGGAGGAGCGGAAGTTGGGAATCCGGAAGTAGACTGGGTATAAGTTGACGCGATGAACTCCGACAGTAGAACTGTGAGAACCAGTATAGTAAAACGGTAGCTCGGGGTCATGATGAAGATGCCTGAAAATATAAAAGAATAAATATTGTAGAAAAATTTATAACAAAATAATTCATAGCAATGGTTGTCAATTTGTAATAGTACAGTTAAGCAGTACCATTCAAGAGTTTCGTCAAAATGAATCTGAAGACGATGCAACTATAGCAGTGATATTTATTCTTTTAGCACAGGTGCTGATGTGATTAATTTTTGATGAATTTGTGGTGTAAGCTTACATGATAATGCGTTGTTTTAATATGTACGGGAACTCCTGTCCGATGTATCAAACTCCCACACTAAACAATCATTGTCAACAGCGCATGTCCATTCAATAACCCACACTTAAAAACTATTGTAATCACCTTAATCACTATTTTGTTTAATGTCACGTTAGTTTAACCTAAAGTATTTTATATAGGATTTTTAACCACAATTATTAAACAAATTCCGGAAATTCACGAATGTTTTTGTTTGCTCGTATCGGGTTCTCAACGAAAGCTAGCGTTACCAACTTGTGTGTCGTATTCTTTAGATGTATCATCTCAAATACTCCTTCTGCAAAACATTATCTGCTAATGATTTTGATTTGATGTAGATAAAATATTTTTAACAAATGCATGTTAATGATAAACGTGGTCGTAAACATGACTGATGTTCGGATAACTGCATTTTGTATAGGCAAAGTACACTTCGGGCTAAGTTCTTTTGTCTCAAAATTTGAATCACATTAGTGTACCTGCATAGATAAACAGATTTTCTTTTGTAAAATTAACTAGCGACATTAGTATTATGACTGATGATAAACTACCGAGCAATGCTGAAACAATGTTGTAAAGTTGTCTTGGTGTATAGCTGTCAATTGTTAAAATATTTCTCTTTCTAAATTCATAACTGTGAAACAGATGTCATTTTTATTTTTTTTTTTTTTTCAAGTTCAATATCAAACGTTCATTTCGTATAATATGAATAAACAATGCCTTAAATAACATTGTCAAAATATTGGACGAATTAATATATTAATTAATTCATGAGCTGTTGTATTTAATTAACTTTTAATTATTGTGTTAAGTTTCAAACAAACATTGAAAATTAATGATTCTTAAGTTCAAATATAAGTCAATATTCAATTTATTACATTTTTAACCTGTTAATATAATCAGAAATTAATACAGTAAAAAACGGTTATTTTTTAATCATTCATCCGAAAAAGGGAAAATTTTTACTTCTATTCTTAATTAATGTATTTTTGAAATCCATTTCAAAAGTTGAATAATTAAATGAACAAATGATATTTTTTATCAAATCCACACGTAAAAAAAGAAATTCGTGTATTATAATATAAATCAGATTTTTTTTATTATTATTTTATATACACCAGACTATAAATATTCCCTATGTAATAATAAAATTATTTTACATGTTATACTAACCATTACATGTTAACGTCCAATATTTCCGGTAAATTATTGTATCCTTCATGAATAATCACAGAGTAAAAACTTAAAGTTTATAGATATTTGACCAAATAAACACTTATAAACAACTTTTTTCTCTTCGCTAGATTCTTAATGACAATGTTAGAAATAAAAGTAATAAAAATACTGTCTAAATTTGAATATATATACGTGTGTTAAAGTATACACTTTTTCTCAAGGTGTCATGTTTGAGCTAAACAATAATGACGTACTCAAAAAACCATTAAAGACGGCAATTAACTCCAATAAAACTTTACAATTGAGTAAATCAGGCAGATCAATTAATGAGGGTGATCGATCCATTACTGATTATTGATTAACCATTGACAAAACACGTGGGGAAAGTGATTTAGATCAGCATTGAGTCATCGATCCATACTTAGCGCGAGTGTTTAATTGTTTTAAATATTAATACTGTTTATTTTTCGATTTAACTTTTGCCTTCACTGACAGGTACAGAAATATGAAATGAAAGAGTGTCGTCAACGGGGGAAAATAATATTTCATCATTAAACAAATTTAGTTTTTGTTTAAGCAATTACACCAAAAATGTAAAATATTTCATGTATGTTAATATTTCTTTTATCCTTTAAGAGGTGATTGTAAATATCTCGAACGTGTAAGTGGGAAGTAAAATTGTTCAAGTATTTTGCAATAGATCTGCGTTGTTCAAAAATTAATAATAAAAAAAAAGGTTTTGAAAGAAATGAAACTGATATACTGATAAATTAATTGCATTTTAAGTTAACGATGTATGTAGGCATTTCTAGTGGCTTCAGTTTCATGAAAGATTGAGCGTTATTTCTCTCACATATTTTGGTCCATATTTAAGATGTTTTTCTTATACCATAAGCCAAAAACGGACAGACAGTCTGCCCCGACTACTGACTGCCTCAACAACTCTACAGATAATCTAATTAATCCCCACATAATCCCATTGTACTCGAAATGTTTCCTACCCACAACCTCTGTACAGACAAGAGATTTAACCCCCCTAAATATACGACATTAATACAGCAATAAATTCAACTATAAACAGTTTTTAAATATGCAAATAGCAAGTAAAAGTCAATGTTAAAAGTAAAATTATACCCTAAAATATGCACCTTAAACATTACTTAGATTAAGTTCTATTCAATCCCGGCGTATTGTTTTTAGAAAACATGCGTTATTTTTAAAATGTCCGTTCATCTTATAATTGAGAAAAAGCCGGAATTTTTATTAGTTAATGCGAAGAATAGACACGCATGCTCCCTCGTTTTTTTTCTCTAAAGAATTTGCTATTATACTGCTACAGAAACGTTTGTTTATATCCGAGATTTGTTTCAACCAGACGTAAGTTCTAATACAGCAAGCGTGTTCCCAATTAATGTTCTTAAAACACCACTTTGATATCCTAACATAGACGGCCTACGTTAATGTAAAATCATTTTGTCGTACGGATACAAACATTTAGAAAATCGTTTGAAAACCTGCAGAGAAATGAATGTGAATTTAATTGCTAAGCGACAGCGCTGCCAAATATTTACTGTTTCAGAAACAAAATACTTACTATATATAAACTGTATATGCTAATCCGTTTGATACGCTTTCAATTTTGATCTAACAGTTCGCTGGCAATTTCATTAAATATACCTTTTCTTGAAAATTGGACAGATGTGTACGATTTATTTTTATTATTTATTGTTTTGTTTTACATTTACGAGGGTAAGCTATACTTTAAAGGGACCCACTGATTGTTTTAAACAAACAAATAGATTGTCAATCATCGACTATCAAAGAATCACTGGTGCGCTACTTGAATCCGGCCATCGTCGTGCCGGCCCCTCTACCACCCAAGCTATTGCACTAAAGTTTGAACATAATAATTGCAATTAACATATGGTATAAAATAAAAGGTTTTATACTACAAATTTGACCGATGAAAACATATGGTGCCTATTTTTCTACAGTTCGGCATTGGTATGAAATACAATTTATTTTTTTAGTCAACCACGCTAACTTGACTTTGTACTACTTTATTGTAATACAACTATATATTTTATCTCAATCTAGCAGATTTTTCCACAGAAAAAAAAATGGGTATAATTTTTATAAGGTTTATTGATAAAAACTTATCAAAAGATTTCGTACTCTAATTGAGCCTTAATTATAATTTTATTTTTTATACATGGTATTATTATATTTGTGACAGGGGATGACTTTATAACCCTGTAAGATAATTTACATTATAAGGACGATGAAATTGCAATTTCGCATAAGTTTTATTATTTTACAGGTTATGTCCAGACTTCTAATTAACTATGCATTAAGTTAATTATTGACTGATTTTAATGAGGGATAATTACCGCCATAAACAATTTACCTAAACGACACGTATATATAGCACGTGTCAAAACACTCGTTTCCATAGAAATTGGCACTTCTTTAAAATGTTTAACTTATTTCTTGTTGATTATGACACTTCTATTATGATCGTCCACGACACGTTTATTGTATACTGGAATAACTGTTTGTTTATTTCAAATATTATAACATTTTTAGCAAGGCAACTTTAAAAAGAATATTGACAGATGAAAGTAAGTCACGAAAATTTAAAAAAATGTACTTATATAAATATTGTGTTTACGTTACTGTATTTACTTATTATACTAATTTGAAGAGGAAAATCGAATGAATCGTAATTATTTTGTCACAATAGAGAATACTTTTAATTTGAATTATTGAAATTTTCGTTAAAAAATAATTTCAGAGAGAACTTTATTTGCGACAGAAAAAGTAAAACAAGAAATCAAATATATATATATATATATATATATATATATATATTATATATATATATATATATATATATATATATATATATATATATATATATATATATATTGTTATAACATTTTAAAGTATCACTTAACACTAATTTGTAACCATTTTCATACAGTGTTATTCTCCAATTTTCTTTATAATTTGCTACTCGTACTGCGTAAGAAAAAAAAAACATGAGTTGATTTTAATATTGCGGAACTCATTTATATATTTAAAGCTAAACATTTTACGCTATATACAAAAAACCGCGCATTACTGACCGCTGGGAGACATAAAAAAGGTTCAAAAACTGACCGGCTATATAACACACCTGCGTTGGTTAGACATAAACAGTTGAATATGTTGTCAATCTATTCTGCAGAAATGTCAATCACAATACTCGTAACTGTAGCATGTAAAATGTTTAACCTATGTGACGAGCTTTTACATTTCTTTCTCCCAAGTTAAAACAGTGTAAACATCGCTGCATCCCTTTGCTGTAGCTAACGTTTATTTTAACTGTACCGATTTATGTCATTTTTTTATACCGTTGACATATTCAAATCTTACAACAAATTGTGTATTTTAGTAATGACAAATGCATGTTAAGATACACGTTTACGGCTAGTTGAAACAACATATAAATATATATATATCATTAACTTAAATGAAAGGTTTAATTTACACGCAGACAACACAATTGTAAATGAACAAATCATTACCGTGTTCTTAGAAAGTTCAAG